CTCTAAGATGATTTTTTTTAAAGATTTTATTTATTTATTCATCGAGACAGAGGGAGAGAGAGAGGCAGAGACACAGGCAGAGGGAGAAGCAGGCATCATACAGAGAGCCTGACATGGGACTCGATCCAGGGTCTCCAGGATCACACCCTGGGCTGCAGGCATCGCTAAACCGCTGCGCCACCAGGGCTGCCCTAAGATGATTATTTTGAAGCAGTTGGGAGATTTTGATTATGGACTGGGTAACTGATGAAATAAAGAAATAATCGGCAATTTTATTCCAGTGGAAATTACATTATAGTTATGAAGAAAATGCCCATGTATGAGCATGCTAGAGATGTATGCTGGGGTGTGCCTGAAGTCTGAGGTTTGCATAAAAGGCTTCCACAAAGCAATAAAGGAAGGTGATATAAATACGGCAAGTTCTTGATATTGTTAAATCTGGATGATGGCTATATGGAGGATCATTGATCTGTTCTCACTGATTTTGCATGTGTTTGAAACTTTTCATATCTAATCTCCTCTGCCCTTCTTCCCCCAGTGAGCTGTTCATGGCTGGATTGTTGGCTTAGACATAGGACTGTTGCCAGCATGTAATATTTAAATGGAAAGAGGAAAATAATGTGCAACTGCAAAGTTGAGAGCTAAAAAATGTATATACAGAATTTTTGTTGTTGTTGTTACATGTGAATTTAGATATGACTCTTCGATGTGTACTCTCCAAAGCAGATTTTGGTGTAAAAGCAGCGTTCATTGGCGAGAATGAATAATTTCGGTGAGGAATGTTTTGTAACAGCCAAGAAAGGCTAATATGAACATAGTTGATATTTAATGCAGTGTCATAAGTCTCTTACTTATTCCTGTTGCTTTATCATTTGTTGAATCACATTAAAAAAAGTTACACCGTACAATATTCTTTCCTTAATGAGGTTTGTCTAAAAAATTTTAGAAGAACAAGTGATTAATTTTAGCGTTTTATTTTCCCTCAACATAAAATATAGGTGTGTTTCCTCTCCAACTTAGATTATATAAAAGCTTTGGAGATGAATTTTCAGAAATGAGTTTCCATCTGAAGATATGTTACTATATCGAATAATCAGAGTCGGAATTAAAAGTCACTTGAGATTAACAGGTTGCTGCTTTTTCCCCCAAAATGTTTTATCTACTTTCAGAGTTTTAGCTCTTCGATGTCAGATTAAAATTCTGAAGCATGTTCGATTCATCTCAGAATTGAGTGTCAAATCGAAAGACAGATATTTATAACTGAGTTCTGTTCGGGCAAAAAGTCAGTTTCCAGACAGCAGCTTGGGTGATTGTAAAGCTCTCATTCGTAGTCGGATGCTGCCATCATTTTAAACAAACAAATTAAAGCTTTAGGATTGGATTTGATCTAACCAGCCATTCTATTCCTTGTTCATTATGCTTTATATTTGCATGGTGCTGTAGGGTTTATATGCCATATTCAAATAATTATGTCTTTCTCATAGCAACAGTCTGGAATTGGTAATATTATCTGCACTTGACTGATGAGGAAATTGAAGTTCTAAGAGGTGAAGTGATTTACCTATCATGCAACTAGTTTGCAGGTTAAAGTAAGATTTCTAATCAGTCCTTCTGACTCCAAATTTTTCCATTATAAAACTTCTACCAACAAGAAATGGCAAAGAAACTGGATACATGTATGTCTAGGATATTACTATTATTCTTATGAGAAGGAGATGTATTTACTTGCATTAAAAATTGAATGGATAAACTATTAAAAATAAGATATGAGTTTTTATTTTTTTTTTAATTTTTTTTTATTTACGATAGTCATACAGAGAGAGAGAGAGAGAGAGAGAGAGAGAGAGAGAGGCAGAGACACAGGCAGAGGGAGAAGCAGGCTCCATGCACCGGGAGCCCGACGTGGGATTCGATCCCGGGTCTCCAGGATCGCGCCCTGGGCCAAAGGCAGGCGCCAAACCACTGCACCACCCAGGGATCCCCAAGATATGAGTTTTTAAAAGTTTTTTAAAAATTCATTCATTTGACACAGAGAGAGATTGAGCACAAACAGGGGGAGCAGCAGGCAGAGGGAGAAGGAGAAGCAGGCTCCCCACTGAGCAGGAAGCCTGACCTGGGGCTTGATCCCAGGACCTGAGATCATGACCTGAGCCCAAGGCAGACCCTTAACTGATGGAGTCACCCAAGAACCCAAGATATGAGTCTTATAGGGGATGGTTGGGACAGGTGGATAACCTAGGATTTCCTGAATATAACTCTTTATCATAGATATGATTTTGGAGCAATGTAAATATTTTAAATACATATAAAACGAACTTAAATGTGAAAACAGTCCTTAAAAGTCAAAAGCAAAGTGAAACAAGTAACCTGTGAAAAAAAATGGTGGCATAACCCCACAGAGAAAAACTTCTTAAAACTTTAAACCACTGTAATTTGACTATGCAAACCTAGGGATAGTGACCCCAAGAACAAAAGAAATGCAAACAGAATTTAAATGGTTTACTCTAAGTGTATCCTTGGGAGTGTAGTCAGATTATGATCCTGAAACTAGTAAGGTGAGGTAAAACAGACGAGTTATGTTGGAGTCCTCGAGAACGGGAATCTGGACGTTGGAGGAAGAAGAAGATGAGTGGGGTCAACATAAACAGGATTTGAATTGCGTTGTAAGAACCTGTGTTGTGTTTTATTTTTTTTCTAAAAAGTATTTACTACCTCTGTCCACTGAAAAGGCTTATAACGATGGATGACTAATTGCATAACAATGAGTATCCCAACCTACCAGACTCGGTTTCTAAGTGCCATGTCTTCCTGAAAGGAACTAAGGTCTTTGGAGAAATAGTTGACTCTCCAACCTAGGGCTTGGACAGGAAATAAAAGATGAAGTGGAAAGTGGGTATGCTATTAATAATACTAGGTTTGTATCAAAAAGAATTAGGAGTCATCTTGAACAGGCGCTTATTAAGCAAAGACAGAGTAATTTAATCATCAATTAGAATAATGTCAATAATAGATTGAAACACACAAGGTATGTTAAATAGACACATTTAGAATGATACTTAAAAAGGTCCCTCAGTAGGATACTAGCAAACAAACTCAATATTTTGAAAAAAATAGAAGAAATGAAGCAATTTTCCTGCCTTTTCAGGAAAGCAACAATTGATGATCAAGACTTGATGAGAGGGCTTTCTTTTTGTAAGACAATGCTAGCTAATAAATGTAGAATGAATGATAGAATATTTCTATTTTGCAACAACAGATTCGGATAATGCCCACTGAGCAGCTGCTGATGTCACAAAGAGAGAGACAGGACTACTGGAAATCCACAGTATCACCTGTGAAATTACCTGTGACAAAGATTAGACCTCAATTTGATCAGCCCTCTGGATCTGATTATCAGTTTCAGAAAGAAAAGAAAAACAGAAGAATGCACTAAAAGATATCACAGGGATGCAGTGAGAGGAAGTGTAACATTAGGACTCCTCTAAAGCATGAATAACCTGGTTTTCTCAACAAATACATTGAAAAAAAAAACGGAGAGGGAGGGGAATTATGGGTTGAAAGACATATCAACCAATGGCAGTGTATGGATCTTAGATCCTTATTCAACAAATGGTGAGGGAGAGAAAGCATGCCTACAACAGCTGAGGAAATTTGAACACTGACTAGATATTTGATGATATTAAAGAATTATTACATTATTGTGGTTATGTAGAGTTTTTAAAATCCTCATCTCTGAGAGACACACTGAAATACTTAGGGATGAAATAATATGATTTCTGGAATCTGCTTAAATAATCTGGAGCAGGGGGAAGGAAAAGTAGCAGAGTGTACAGGTGAAACACAAGATCATACTTAGCAGAACTGGAGAACGAACTACACTATTCTCTCTACTTCTGTTTATGCTTTGAATTTTTTATGATAAGAAAAAAAATCCTGTCGCTTAAGATCAATCTCAGCATATTGTGGAGAAAAGTAGTCATTTATGTGAAATAATTACTGTGCTAAGAAGGGCTTCAGGTTAGGGGTTTTTTTCCACCCCACTCCCGAAAGCATGTTCCTAATGGGATGCGGTTAACATTTGTTAAATATTAGGTTATGTGCCAGACAGTTGATCTAGTCACTTTATGGGTGTTCTCTTCAAATTTACCGGGATCCTATAAAGAAATTCTACCATCTTCACTTTTCAGATCGTGCTGAGATATTAAATATCTCAAACCAAGACACAGCTAGCAGAGGATGGAGGCAGGCTTGCAATGCAGCCCATTTGGCTTTTATTGCTGGCATGCTCCCCCGTGCTGTGTTCGGTCTGAGCAGTTACCAGGAGCCGAGATTCTGAGTGACAGTGTCTTCTGGTGTATATGTATGTGTGTACATATATATATGGATGTATATATTTTTCCATTTTCTTGATCAGTATTCTTTGCCCAAATTCAAGCCTTTTGAGGGAGATTACAATTTGCCTGTGGCTAAATAGAGACTCCGAAACCAGTCAGCCTGCTCCAAGGCAATACTAGCCACTCTGAATCTTTAATGAGGCAAGCTGCTCCCCTTCCCCACAAGATGGGGACGAAAAGCACAGTTTTATTTTAATATTCTTCTTAATCAGTTGTTGCAAGGCGCTTTTCCTGGGTGGAGTGTATTCTCGTGGTGTGCTGCTGGCAGGCAGGGGGAGGATGCTGCGGCCTAAAGTGGAGCGTGTTCTTTGTCATGCACGTACACAAAGGAGGGGGGCATCCAGGCAAACATAGAAATGGTGCTTTCAGTACTAAGGAACGAACACAACCCTTGGATCAAACTCAGATGTTTCCCCCAGGAGGATCACTCCCTCATCTAGGATCCAGGGGAGCTTGTAAAAATCTTTTTAAAAAGGTGAGTGTTCAAGTCCTAGTCATCTGTGAACTTTGAGACCATTTTGCATAAGTAACGTCTAGACAAGTAAATTAAGAACCTCAAGTCAGTAAAATCGTTTGTAAAATGACCCTCTGCATTTCTTGAAGCAATTATAATTTATAAGAACTGTAGCTTTATTGGTAAAGTAGCAGCCCAGGAAGTTGACTACAATACGTTTTTGTGCTTCCGGCAGTTGAGTGACTGACTCCAAACACAAAACTGTGGGGATTTGGGAAGCCTTGATTGACCCAGGCATCTTTTATCTCCCACGTCCTTGAAATGGAGGCAATATGAACACTGTTCCTGAAATTTATAATACGTATAAAACGTAAGAAAGCAGTCCTTTAAGGAAGGAAAAAAAAATACTAGAAGTAACAATTCCCAGTTAGCCGATGATTATTAGTTATTGGCTACAAATTTCCTCAAGATTGGCATGAGTACATGTCCTTCAAACTTCAAGTTAGTTGTTTCTCCCCTTTCCCATGGGTGGATTTCCCTGTGTCCCCAGCAAGAATAACTAGGGTAAACTCTTCATAGTTCCTGTCTCATGGAGAAAAGAGAGAAATAAATTAGAGTGCTCTATCACAGTCTGGTTTTTTGGTGTAAATCTAAAATTTAATGTGCCCAGAGATGCTTCTTTCTGTGTAGTTGTTGAACAGCTTCCTGATATCTGGAAGATCATAGAAATTCTCAATTAAATTAGGGATTACTTCATCCTTTAAAATACCATTACTTTTATCAGTAAATTAATGTTAGCTCTCTCTGATATTAATGATTTATAAAGTATGTGTGTCACTTAGTAAGCTCTGCCAACCCAAGTCACTAACACCACCATTTTTTCATTTCAAAACATTGTGTAATAACAACCCCAATTAACAATATTTTTAAAAAATTGGCTGACAATATAAAAATTGTAAAAGAATGAAAGCTAGGATCTCTTTCTAGACCTTGAAATATAACTAGATTTTATATTATTTACACGTTATGAGCTTGAAGGAGAAACTGTAGCTATCTCTTTATATAAAATGTATGATCTCACTCTATAAGAATAATTTATGTAGGGTTTAACATACAGCATGGTGTCACCATAGATGACGAAGGTGGCACTGACATCCTCTAACACTCACCACCGCAGTTAACCAGACATTCTCATCTACCCCCACTTCCCTTTTGCCTTCAGGAGCTGATCTCACCTCCCACCTGGTGAAAATGATGGAAACCAACTGGGGTGGGCTCCCTCTTTGCCTCCCACTTTCCCCAGCAGTTTTCTGATCTCTATCTCCCTTCTGAGGCATTTTCTTCCCTTTGAAAACTTTCCTGGCCACTATATTCTACACCCTATCCCTAAATCCTTCTTCTGGGGACTCACTGCCCTTGTAACCCATCTCTTCCTGCATTGCTGCCTCTTTGTGTTGTATCTTCAAAGTCTCATCTCTCTAGAAAACATTTTTCACTTGTCCTCACTAGCCTATTCCATTATTAGCCAGACTCCTTTGGGGTGAGATATATAAATATTCTCTTATTCCTTATTCTCTCATTTATTTTCTTCCTAAACTTCCCTCCACACATAGTCTCCCCATGTACATACCTTTATGACCAAGTCTTGTTTGGGCTGATGAAGCTCGTGCAGGTACCTCCAGGTCTCACTTTTCTCTCTGTTTTAGGCCCAATTTCTTCCCCTCGACATCCAATCAGATTCTGCCCACAAGTGTTCCCATCTCATCCAAGATCACTCTTGAGGTCCTATTGATCCTTCTTTCTTGTATTCGGATTGTGGGTTCAGTGCAACTCGGCCTAAAATTATGGACATTGGTTTTCATTTCCTCAATAAGATTTAAGTTTCTCAAGACCACATCTTGCACTTCTCTCTTCCACCCCTACTCCCAGCCAGATGTAGAAAAATAGCAAGAGTCTGATGGTTATTAAATATTAGAAGTCTATAAATGATTCTCTTGGGGGAGAAAACTCACTTCAATGACAAGTGAGTGATAACATTTTAGAACTATCGCCTTACAAAATTGTAACTGTTTCATTTTTATTCTCTTCAGGAAAAACTCATCGACCTTTCTCATGGCATATAGCATTTTTTTAGGTGACAGAGTTTCAGTAATTACATTTTGGATTACTCAGACACCTTCAGAAACTGAAAATCTGTTTACAAATCTAGTCACGATCAAGATGCATCATTAGAGCCAAACAACACAGGGTATATACACAGAAGTCTAAACACAAGTGAAGATTGGGTGGACATAATGGTAAGGTGTCAAATAGGGAACTATATAGAGTAAACCAGAAAGATTTTCCCAGGGAAGATGGATTTCAAGTAGGTTCTGGCTTAAAAATATAAAAATGTTAGACTGGCCCAGTAAGAACAGCTTGAGTTCAGGATTAGAGACAGAAGGCACAGAAAGGCAGAATGGGGATAAATCCAGCGATGTAGTCTTAAACTAGAAAACAGGCTCAATCCAAGATTTTGTTCTCCCCTCATCAAACTATATTATTGTCTTATCTATAAATATATTATGTCATTTGCTCATATAATAGCTAACATGGACATAATGGTTGTATTTCTCATTTTGAATTTTAAACTGCAAAGTAAAACCATCGTATGTGCAAAACATTACTTTCTTTCTCCCTCCTGAATTGGTGCCCCTCACTTCTACTCTAACATTCCTGTTACCCTTTCTTTTCTCCTGTGCACCCCGCTGACATCTGTCCCAGCTGCCTGCCATCGCAGCTGTTGACCACCACACTTGAGCGCATTTAGATTCCTTGATGCAGTCTGGTGGCCCTGGTGCATGAGAGCACTCACCTAATGGATGCATTTCTTGCCTTCCTCATGGAAGTCCCAGAGTACAAAGGAAGTGCCCATATTTGGAGTTAGATCTGGGTTGAATTTTGATTTTTCTGCTCAATGTGTGACTTTGCAATTTTCCTATCACTTTGAATTTTCTCCTCATATGTAAAGAAAGGGGGGACATTATTCTTACCTTGAAGGTTATTTGAAGGGGAGATTATGAGAAAATGTGTTTCAGATATATAGTTTCTGCCAGAATGGGTGTTTCTCATCAATGTTTCTCAGCGTGTGGTCCCTAAAACACCTGCATTGAAATCGCTTAAAATGCAGATTCTGAGAGTTACCCTAGGCCTTATTTAATTCAAATGTATCTGAGTCAGCCTGAGAATCTACATTTTAAACAAGTTTCCCAGATGAGTCTATGTGCTTTCAGCATGGAAATCCCTGGGATATGTATTCATCTTCCTCTTGTCTTCCTTTTTTTTTTTTTGCCTCTCCTTCTCTCTCTCTTTCCCCCTTGATCTCATTTAACAGCACATTGTACATGAGGTATGCCCCTTGTCGGGTTATTTTCACCTTTCAGAGTTTCATTTTTCTTTGATGTAAAAAGAAAATTGCCTACTTCTCTAGTCACTGCTTAGAATAAATTATTAAAATGGTATCAATCACTTAGAAAAGGTGCGCACACAAACGGTAGCTGTAATAGAAATCATTAGAGTTATTGTAGGGGTTGCTGCTTATGAAGAACAAGGTACATTAACATTCTTGTGTGGCTTATAACAGAGGGTAAGTCATTCTGGAGCTGGGACCCATGTGAAATGAAGAAAGAACTTGCCTTGGGTGCAAACTTTAAAGCTTAATTTAAAGAGATGCCCTTAATTTAGTAATCAATATAAATAATATTTTATTTTAATATTTCAAAAATGTCAAATTAAATCTACTATAAGCAAAATATTAAAAATTTAAATAAAGATAATATCAATATTTAAAATGTTTTTCCTTTTAGATCAGATTCCACTATGGTTTCCCATGACACTGTTACTGATCTAAAATATTGTGTTAATATATTGTTTATCTTAATATTGAAAATTTTGGTGCCCCCTTAAATTCCATCCTTGAGGGAAGTGCCCTCACTTGCCTCACTGTAGTCCTGGCTGACTTATCTCCATGCTGAATCATTTCAGTGTTTAATTAGCTAAGACAGAATGGTCTGTTTCCATCCTTTTTTTTTTTTTTTTTTTTGCCAGAATCTTCACTTAAGCTTTTAAGTGACATTTGTACAGGTACTCTATTTTAAAAATATTTCTGAGAAATACCCACATTTTAAGAATATTAGTGTGTATATCAGAGGTTCAGATGAGTATCAGAAAGAGGCATCATTTTGCAAATACAGTGTCACCTTAAAATTCTATTACATTGAGGAAGAAGTAGCCATTCTATAAACCTAGTGTTGGAGGCCCATTTCCGATTATTCTCAATAAGAACTGGGAAACGAGGAGTCAACAAAAAAAGAAATGTTCAAGTAGATCAGAATCAGCCTGGCAAGAAAAGTGATCGTGGAAGATTTTTGTATAATTAAATGTCAGTTTGCATTTTGAAATATTGCCTGCTGCCTCCCACTCAATCACTAAGTGAGATGAGAGGGAATATTCTCTATGCAAACCTGAAACTGACAGCAGCACTTGTTGGGTTCTTCGTGACAGATGAGCTATAGATCAGAAGGATCAGAGTGGATCATTTTCCCATGGCTATAAAATTTTGCCAAAAAATTAAGTTAGACATTATAATTTCCCCCTATAGGAAAAGCAAATAAACAACAGAGAGAAATGAAGCCATATAAACTTCTGGAATTTTAGAATAGGAAGAAATTTTAGAGGTCATCCAGTTTGTCCTCCTCCCTTTACAGAAGAAAAATATGATGCCCAGGTAGAAAAATGGTTTCTTAAGGTCACTCAACCATCAAGTGACTGACAGAGCTGCCACTTTCTTCCACGTGCTGCTGGGGTATTAGGTTGAGAAGCAGGTGAGTGGTGCGAAGGGGAGTAGTCCTGGTCTCCTGTTCCCTGTAGGCAAATGGCTTAGAAGTCTTTATAGCTGATGTGATGGGCCTAGGAAATGGAGAGATATACTTGGATACATGCTCAGGACCAGCTGAACACAAGTTTCTTATCATTCTAAGACACACTTTACTTCTTTCTTTTCCATTCTACCACTACATAAATGCAAATTTACTGAATCAGAGTCTATAGAGGTAGAGCTGGGACATAGATTTTGGTTAAAAGCTCCTTCAGTGTTTTTGGTGTGTGTCTCAATTAAACACAGCTGCGTTGGAGATTCGTTTCTTTCTGACAAAGAGGTCTATGCCAATAACAACTTCACGTGAAATAATCTAGAGATAGGTTCAGGAAGAAGCATAGGAGACCTAGAAAAGCAATTTATGAGAAGGCAAAAGAGGGAAATGCTTGCTAAGCAAATATTGTCTCTTTTCAATTTTGTCCAGTCAGTGTGAGGATGGGAGGAGCTTAGATCCATACTTAACAGCCTTACAGGGAATTTCCTTCCTTCTGTTCTAACCAGATTAAGCTCTTGAATGCCCCTCTTGGAGCTACTCCAGAATCTTTTATGAGCCTGTTGTCATGGGACATAATACCTTATTATTCATCATCATAGAGTAGTTTCAAAACAAAAATTGTTTTTTGATCTTTTTTCTAATTTTGGATATAGAGAGTTGAGTTAATTACTCTCTTCAAGTCATGGCATGTTAACACTCATTGCTGGTTTGTGAGAGGCTCCTTTCTTTGTATGCATGTATGTACGTATGTATGTATTTTCCTTTATTACCATTTCTTCCCCTCCCATTCCCAAATAGGCAAGCATGCTCATGTGTTTGGCATGAGTCCTTTAAAAATTACTCCAGTATACTACAAATGTGTTTAGTGCTTTAGTATACTTTGCGTTCCTCATCGGGGTCGTTGAGGTGAGAGGAGAGAGAAAAAAGAAAGAACTTGATAGATGTTTCAATGCATTTTTGAACAGACAGGCATTTGTGATTGAAAACCACTCCCTTTTGAAATGCTTAAGGTTCTCCCTTAATTTTTCTTGGTGGTTTAATACTATATTAATTTTATTTGTTCATGTAAATGTAGTGTTCCAAGAATTTACCCTAAAAAATCTAGCCTAGCCCAAGTAGTTGGAACCTACCACACATTGCCCCATCTTGCCTGTCACTTTCATCACAATCCCTATGTACATAGGTTGGTTGATTGCCAGCTAATTATAAAGCAAAAATACCTTCTACCCACTTATGCATTTGAAAACATGAAATTGGTCTAAAGCCTGCTATGGTCACTAGTAGATAAAGATTTGTGTGACTAAACAAATTGCATATAGGCTACTCTTTCTTCATGCCTTTTCTGAGCATAAATCAGAGTGATTTTAACAACTTTATAATTTTGAAATTAAGAAACTATCTAAAAATAAAGTAATATACTTCAACATTTTATAGAATAAATTCAGCAATTTTGCTTAGCGACAACAAATAAATTTGGGTTTCCTTATTTCTCCAGTTTTCTTCTATGATAGAATTAAGTCAGAATCAGTCATTTCTTTTTTTTTGGGGGGGGATTAAGAAAATAAATACTTTAAATGTCATTAAATGGAGAACCAGAAGCAGTGCAGATATTTGGCAAAGGATAGTTTTTAAGATCAATTTTAAAAGGGCAAAGACCATTTAAAAGAAAATTGATATGGAAAGAATAGGTAGTCAGAAGAGGCAATAAATAAAAAATTCAACAAAATCAACATACTTGTCATCAGACTCTTAGTCTGCACCTCCCTTTCCTGGGCCATCTTTGTCTGTCTTCTCTATTTCTTATTTATTCCAACTAACAGTGGGGTGATGACATAATTAACGTGGAGGTTCCTCTTTCGTTTGAAACCTGGAGGGTTGTTCTTACCTCTAGGAGCATCAGGACGCTGATTTTCAATGAGGCATTTTATTCTTTTCTCTCTGAGAAGTTTCTGATTTTGACTTATAATCAAAATCTGACAATCTCAATTGTTCTGGTATTTGAGTCTCCTGGCCTGTTCTCATCATTGTCTTTTATATACCTGACCTTTTTCTCAGTAATTGGGTCATCTTCTGCCTATGGTACCTTTGGTATTAATTTAAGTCCAACAGGGCTTGCAGGATCATTGCCTGGCAGCCATATCACACCCACTGAAGCTGTCAGCTTTGAATCTTGACCTGTGTTCTAAATTCTTAAGGGAGCCTTGGGAATTGCTATTTTCTTCTCACATTACTCTTAAGTACAGTACACTTGCTGTATGCTTTGACCCAATAGAATATAATCCCTTGTCTAACTCTATCTGTGTTCTCTGTTAGTGACAGTACCTTGTAATAGGGTACTTACAAGGGGGAGAGATAAGAACCTGCCTAAGAACCAGTTAAAATTATCCATAGAAGGTACTGACTTCAAAACCATTGATGTCTCCATCTTAGCTATTACCTACGTGCATTGTTGTGTGTGTGTGTGTGTGTGTGCATTAGAGCGTTGAATTTTCGATTATTCCAGACTGAGTTGTAAAATTTGTAAGAGAATAAAAGAATGAATATTACCTTATTGTCAAAAGCTACACTTTCGAATATGAAAAAGTAATCATCAGGGCTGGAATCCTTATAGGAAAGTTGATATTCTGTTACTGAATACCTACAGATGTTAAAGCTTTGTATGTACTGCACAACTAATATAACTTCTCTGACTTTTGAAAGAACAAATAATAAATGAACAATACATAAGCTTGGTTCCAGGGAATTGATTATAGTGCCATTCCTTTAATAGTTGCTCAGCATTTCACATCAATTTGACTTTCACGTTTCAGAACGGTGACATAGATAAATCTCTAGGATCTACATTTTGTGGGTGAAGTAAAGAGAAGTTAACTTGAGAGGCTGAACTGAGATTATTTACTGTATGTGTGTTCTGCTCCTCTAGAGTTAGAGCACGGAAAGGAAAACTGGGTGGACCTGTCCTCCTCCGTCTGATAAGTGTACACTGGAATGGTCTCTGAGATATAGCCCAGTTCCTTTCACTAAGTTGAGAAGGAGAATGGTTCATCACTGTGGTCTTTTAGACTCTTGCCTTTGAACTTCATAATAGCATTATACATGATTAACCTACTACCTTTAATATATTTTTACCTTTACCAATGAGGTGTGTAACTTCCATATGTTTTCTTGTTACTAATTCAGGCCCCTTCTTTTCAGCTTAAAGAAGTCCTTTTAACATTTCTCCTAAGGCCAGTTTAGTGGTGATAAACTCCTTTAGTTTTTACTTATCTAGAAAACTCTTTTTCTCTCAGTTTTGAATAACTTTGCTGGATGGAGTATCCTTGATTGGATTTTTTCATTCAGCACTTTGAATATATCATGTCACTCTCTTCTGACCTGCAAAGTTTATGCGGAAAAATCTGCTTGGAGTCTTAAAGTGATTCCCTTGTATGTAACAAGCTGTTTTTTTTTTTTTCCTTGCTACTTTTAAGATTCTCTTCTTGTCTTTAACTTTTGTTATTTTAATTATGGTATGTTTTGGTCTGGATCTCTTTGGGTTCATCTTATTTGAAACTTTGTGGGCTTCCTGAATCTGGGCTTCCTGGATATCTGTTTCTTTTCCCAGGTTAGGGAAGTTTCAAGCCATTATTTCTTCAAATATATTTTTGCCTCTTTGTCCCTTTCTTCTTCTGGGACTGTTATAATACAAATGTTAGTCAGCTTGATGTTGTCCAACAAGTCCTTTATGCTATTTTTACTTATTTTAATTTTTTTTTCTTTTTGCTGGTCTGATGGGTAAGTTCCTCTGCTCTGTCTTTGAGTTCATTGATCCTTTCTTCTGCTTCATCTAGTCTCCTGTCAAAACCCTCTCATGTATTTTTCAGTTTAGTTATTGTATTCTCTAATTCCATTTTTTATGCTTGGAACTTTCTTATATTTTCTGTCCCTTTGTCAAAGTTCTCACTGTGTTCATCTATTCTCCTGAATTTAGTGAGCATCTTTATGGCCATTACTTAGAACTCTTTATCAGGTGAAGTACCTGTCTCCACTTCACTAAATTTTTTTTCTGAGGTTTTTCTTTTGTTTGGAATGTATTCCTCTGTTTCTTCATTTTGCTTGTCTCTGTATTGTTTTCTATGCATTAGATAAAATAACCACTTCTTACAGTCTTGAAGTAGAAGCCTTGTGAAGAAGATGAACTTATTATTCAACCCCATCCTAGCTTTTTGTTGTCTCTAATTTTTTTGATTGTCCAAACAACCTATTTTATTTTTAATTGCTCTCAGTTGTTGAAGGTTTAGCTCTCTATTAAAGGTGTTCACAGTATAGTTTCTCTTCTTTAGAACTCTTGTTACAGTTATATTTGATTCATACTGGAGAGTAATAATTTTACTTCTTGTTCATCAAATTGCAGTTAAGAACTCAGTAATGATATTTTTATGTATTTGAGTTTTTATCAAGTATGTGTTTTCTAATCGGAATTCTTTAAGAACAATATGTACATTTTAAAAGACTAGAAATAAACAAAATGTGAGGGGTACCTGGTGGCTCAGTCAGTTAAGCACCTGCCTTTGGCTCAGGTCATGATCCCAGAGTCCTGGGATTGGGTTCCCTACTTAGCAGGGAGACTGTTTCTCCCTCTTCTTCTGCCCCTCCCCCCATTTGTGCGCGCTCTCTCTCTCTCACATAAATAAATAAAATCTTAAAAAAAAAGAAATAGACAAAATGTGGGTAACTTCGAATGCTGAGAACATAGAGTACTTTCTTCCAATGTTTCTCTGTTCTTTGTATTTACCAAAATTTCTAGAATGATACGTTATTTTTATAATAAGTAAAAAAATCCAATAAATGTAAAAATGTGTCTAGATGGCATATAAAGAGACTATGACTTGAAACAAAACTAGATTGTGTAATGTAGTCTCTTTAACTAAAATTTTCCAAGTAGCAAAAGCCAGAAAATACTGTTCTTGTTTGTAAACTTTTTAAAATTATCTGAGAATTCAATGAACTAAGATCTGTTCTTGATGGATGGATCTTGCTTGTGTGGAGCCATCTACTAAACTCCCCACATTTTCTTCCATGCCAAGGAAGGTGCAATGGCAGGCATCTCAAGGAGCCAGGAGAGCTTGTTCTTGCTTCACACAAAGACTCAACCGTTGATTGTTGGAGTGGCTCCAAGGCTTGCTCAGGATAGCCTTCAGGGTTGCACCACTGCCTAGGCAATGCTGTAGGAAAAACAGGGCTGCAACATCTGCCCTTGCCTAGGTCTTCATGATTTGAAGTTTTCCCCACTATGTTCAGGTACAGTCTTAGGCAGGGCAGAGAGCAAATGGAATTCAGATTTCCTCACTATAAAGAAGACTGCATAGTCCAGTCAGTAAGCATTGCTCTCTCTTATGGTTAGAGGTGTACCTCATGTACCTTTTGGTGCAACTCCAGAAGCCAAGTATTAAAGTCAGTAATATCCTGGGGCTAAAACCTAATACCATCAGTAAAAAATAACTTTTGAGATATGGAAACAAAATTATATCATATTATGAGTTTAAGTATTATTTAATTATTTCCTTTTGAGGTAATAATTTTGAAGTAGCAAAGCTAGCCTTTTGCTTTTACTTCATTCTCAGAAGATGTGAATTCCTAAATAGGGTTTTGTTTTGTTTTTTGTAAAAAAGGTTTGTGTCCTAATGGAATTAAAGAAATAAAAACTATAGTGCTTCAAGGTTATTTGTGTAATATCATGAAAGCTAGTACACCACAGAATTCTACAGAGATTAGAATTCTAATCTGATTTGTATCTCAATATTATTAAACTGTTTACAAATATTTCTACTTCAAAATAAGCATATGTTTCCTCTACATCTCTATAGCTAGTCCTAGGTTTAGTTGTCAATCAATTTCTCTATTTACTGATTGAATATTTTTAGTAATTGTTATTTTATCTAAAATTAACAGCTTTCATAACTAATGTTGATTATGGCAACATTTTATTCTCACAATAAGAAACATACACTTTCCTTCTGATAGAATCTCAATTTATTAAGCATATAAGGATATTTTCAACTCTGGTTTTATCTGAAATGTACATTTATTTGAAATTGATACTCTGACAGTATGAATAAAATATATTTCTGGTTATTACTGACATAGTTATACTCTTTGTATATGATGATAATTTGGATGACTCAGAAGATCGAAGGTACTGGAAAATACATTGATCTACATAGACATTCAACTATTTAGCCTTCTTAAGGCCAAGGTTTATAATCTCTGATAATGAATTAGAACAAAATAACCTTGTTTTATTTACATTTAGGTAACTCAAATGTCCTACCCTATTTACCCATCACATTACCTAATTCAAAATAGTTCAAATCTCTACCCTACTTGATGTAAGAATTTCAATATTTTACCAACTTGCCCTTCTTATATACTTTTTTTTAAATCCCTAAGATATCCTAGGCCAGTAGTTATTCAACATTTTAACTAGCTGCCTGGTTCTGGGCCACTGCTTTGCTTGATTTTTTTGTTTGTTTTGTTTTCTTTTGTTTTTTGTTTTTGGCACTCACTAGTATCCTTTAGCACAGTGCTGTAGTCTACCATGTGTGGTTTTACTCCAGGTGCCATTCCTGACTTTTGCACAATTCCCCACATTAGTAGAAAAGTCAGCTGTGATATTTGTATGATTTCACTAATACCTTTGGGTTTAAAAAAAAAAAGTGATTCAGGGATCCCTGGGTGGCGCAGCGGTTTGGCGCCTGCCTTTGGCCCAGGGTGTGATCCTGGAGACCGGGGATCGAATCCCACGTCGGGCTCCCGGTGCATGGAGCCTGCTTCTCCCTCTGCCTGTGTCTCTGCCTCTCTCGCTCTCTCTCTCTCTCTCTATGTGTGACTATCATAAATAAATAAAAATTTTAAAAAAAAGTGATTCAAGTGGAAAATCACATTTGTTATTAGATACAGGAGATTCTCTGAATTCATAGACCAAAGCCCTCCACAGGCATTCTCTA